TTGGCTGCAGCCGGGGGTGTCCTTAGCCTAGGATGGGGTAAGAAGTGACTCCTGGATCATTTGGTCTTGGCCCATCCATATCCCTGGGGCTGTGGTGTCCCAGGCTCTGGTGAGGCAGGCATGCAAGGGGCTCCTTCACATTGGTGTGTCTCAACCCCAGCGCTGTGTGATGCAAGGAGCCCATCTCCCTACTTGGGATCAGTCTGTTGCCTTCACCCCCAGGACAGTCCTCTCATCCCCTGCTCCTGGTGGGCCGTGATTCAGGCTCTCTTGGCTAAGAGAATGCATGTGGTCAGGGCCACCCTCTGATCAGGTGTCTGTTACCAGAAGCTGCCTCTTCACTGGGGTTTCTCTCCCCCTGGCCAGGGCAAACCTGTTTGGCCATCCCCCTGCCCTGCCTGTGTCTGCCCACACTCAGCTGGGGTTTCAGATACCACAGGGCTCGGCTCTGCCTCTACTTTCCCAGCGAGGGCAGGCCGGGAGCTTGCTCCCTTGGTCACAGCATCAGACGTCAGGGAAGTTTCACCTGAGCCAGTGTGACTCACATCTCCCGTGTGCGGCTGGCTGAGGCCGTTCCCCTGCCCCACTCAGATCTGGCTGTATGGTTACAGACTGAAAGGTGTCCTGAGCTAACAGCCATTCCTTTCTGTTGCAAGCAAGGGGGGAAAACCCTCCTGCTCCCTGCCAGCCAAGCTATTTGCATTTTCACTGACGCCTCCAGTCTGAGCCTGTCGGCTCGGGTGGTTCGGGCTGGTACAGAAACGGGCAGAATTTTGTCTTAAGGTGATACAGTCAGTCCCCAAAAGGATGTCAGAGCTGATATCTTGGAGACCAGCCACCCCAAGCCCTCCTGGGTCTGCACAGAGCTAGACAAAAGGAACCTTAATCCAGCTGACACAGCCTTTCAGCATGTGATGGGTTGTACCACATGTGCTCTGACAAGGGCTCTCTGTCCCAGAATCTCTCTACCCCAGGAACGTCTTCCCAGTAACCAGCACCTTCTGCTCCCACTGGGGATCCCATGAGTCTGAGCCCAGCAGAGTACCACAGGACATGTGTACAGTGCCTGGATCAGGAGTCCATCTTTCACCACTCCCAGTGCCCCCAAAGAGCTGGCTGTGTGACTCACACTCAGCGCCTGAGCTACAATGCGGCCTTCTTGGTTGGGCACAGTGAAGTAGCAAACCTTATTTCATGAAGCCTTGGCCATAGTGCTCACTTCTGTCCTGTTTTCCTACAGATATTACATCTCCCTTGGAAGAAGCCTGCCCGCATGGGTTTACCTGAGTCCCACTCCTGGGGTGCCTCCACTGGTTCCCTTTCCCAGGACCCATGCTTAGCCCAGTTCCCTTTGGGTCTCTCTTCATACCCACACCTACTGTCCACAAAATCATTGGCCAACTGACCTGTGCTATGCAGATCCTTCAGTTCCCTGTGCACTAGCCACATTTTAAGTTCATGAGGACAGATCTCATAGAGTTCCTCCAACCCACCCAGGTTATACCAATCCTCCCGTATAGTGTCCCTGCACTCTTACCCCACTTGTGGAGATATTGTCCCATCAGGGTGGTGGTTTCCATGTAGGTCACACCCTGGGTCTTTTGCACACCCCGAAACCTCCCTATAAGCCCCAGATGTCAATTCAGACGTAAGCCATAGAGTCTTTCTGAACTGTTCATAGTCCCCAGTGTCAGCTCCATCCATGTGGCTGAACGCCTCTATAGCGGTGGGCCTGAGTAAGGGGTGAAACAGCGGAACCAGTCTGCAGGGTCAACCTGGTTCAAATCACAAGCCTTTTCAAAGGCAGTGAGACAGGCATCAATATCCCCACTCCGTAAACTGGGATCTACGTTCCCTGCGGAATCAGCATCTTTCCCCACTTGTCCCTCTGCTTCTCCATATCTGGTTCCTGCTTTCACTCCTTCTCCGGGTTCTTCCGCTGTTCTTCCTCCTTGGAAACTGAGAGGGAACAATCTACTAGCATCTTCACTCTCAGCGCCAAATCCCACCACTTCAGATCTATCAATGGGGAACCAAGTCACAAAAGACCACTGCTGTACAGGGAGACGGGTCTCAAGGATGCCCTATTGCTGTCTCTGTCACTCTCACACCCTCTTGGAACCCCGCCTGGATCTGGAACCTGCTTCTTGGACCGGTCATCCTTCTCCAGCCGTGCAGCTGCACCTTGTTGAGCTTCCCAAAGCTTAACCCTCTTTGCCTGCACATGTTTGCATCGTCTGTCTTAGGGAGCTGGCTACAGACCATTTTTTTGCTGTTTCCTTTAACTATCCTTGTTTTACTGCTGCAAGTCATTTATTACAAAATGCTACCGGTGCATTCAGCATCCCACCTCTACCACCACCTGTCATGGATCCACAAGATCGGTGATACGGTGTCAGTTTGGGAAGAGTCTCTAGCAGGAACCCCTTCAGTGTGTCAGACCCCCTGGAGGCCGTGTAAGACACATGGCTTCACCGCCTTGTGAAACTGGACCTCTAGGCCTCCGGCACGCTGCTTCACATTGTGAGCTCCATTCAGCGAGTCCAACTGAGACAGACCCCCAGTGGAGACTGGTGCACTCCCCAGGGATTAGTGCACCTCGCCAAGCATTGGCAGTGACACTCACACAGTGTTGTCAAAACACTTGGGTTTATTAGTCCTCTGGAACACACCATACGAGTCCTTAGGTTAGCACAGAGAACAGACGTTAAAGCGCAGTCCAGTCTGGTTCGCCCAGGGCCCAGCCAAGCTGTAGTGAGCTCCTTGGTTCAAGCTCTCACTGACCCTCCGTCTGATCTCCTCTGTCAGACTCCAGGTGAAAGCCCCGGCTGCCTCCAGCCACCCACTCTTGCCCCTCCACCCCTGCTCACATCTCTCCAGTCCTTGGATCTCAACCTGGGAGAATGTTGCTCAGCCCCCCTCCCCCCTGCTGAGGGGCGGGGAAGTCTATAGCTTTCTGGGTCACTGATTGCTAGGGAGCAATGTCCAGACAATTGGATTTGTCTGGTGTCTTTTGAGGTGTGCCACTAGTATGGGGATTGAGACCGAGACAAGCGACCTCCCGCCCCCCCCCCCCCACACACACACACACACACTGGGTAACAATGCAC